GACTCCAGTTTCTTGGGTTTTTCAACATGGACTAAAGACCAGCGACTCTCCAGGAACCTTCCAGGCCCTCGGGACCAGACTGGGACTGCTGAGACATACAGCTTTGTGGACTGAGCAGTTATCTGATCCTTAGCTCTCCAGTCTGCAGCCAGCCACTGTTGGACTATCCAGATCCTACATGTAAGCCATTCCAGTCTGACCCCTTTGCTTAGGTTTAAAGCCCAGGTCTGTTTCATAATCTTTTTCTTCTTCCTTTTAATTGTGCACCCTCCCTAGAGATCAAACCATGAGAGGGCTTCACATGGCACCAGTCAAGTGTTCTACTAGCCAACAGGCTTTCTCTGTCTGTAAAGGAACAGACAAACAATACTTTAGGCCCTGAAGGCAACAGTCTTTCACAGGTTCTCAACTCAGCCTTTTCAGTACAGAGGCACCAGCAGCAACAAAGGAATGGCTGTGGCTGGTCTCCAGCTGAGCCTTACCGCCAAAAGTGGGCGGCAGACCAGACTCACCTGGCCTGGTTTGCTGATCCCCGGACTACAAGGAAGACTTAACTATTCTAAGTGGAGGCTGAGGACAGAGCTCAGCAGAAGACTAGCACATGTGCAGCCGAGAGTTTGATCCCTTGCATAGGGGTAGAAAGTTAAAGGAGACAAAAGAAGATGACCAGCGAGACCCAGGTCTTTAAACCGATGCAAAGTTCAGGTTAAACTGAACCTATACACCTCAGTTATCATTCTGTACTCTCAAGTTATTCCCTCTGTGAGCTGGCCTATAACTCAGGTACTCGGGGTAGAGCGCAGGACTCTGAAGTCAAGAGCCGAACCCAGGAATAAGGTCAATCACAGGAAGATCGATCCTAGCTACTTGGGAGGCTGAGGCGAGAGAAGCACTTTGAGGCAGGCAAGCACTAGAAATAGTTTAGTAACCGGGACTCCATCTTGTTTCACTTGGCAACCTGGGAAGGTCCTTGACCTGCACTAACTATTCACACACACCGCTCTCTGCAAAATGCACCTAGCAACCTGTTGGCAACTCAGGACCCCATCTGACCAGGGTACACACACACCCTACTCTGAACAATGGAATAGGTTTCTCCTTCCCTTAACAACCATCAAACCGACAAGCACTATGCAATCATATTCTTCTCGTGTCCAAGCACAAGACAAGAAAGGCAAATCTGGCCTGAACTAGTTTTAGAGTCATGTACAACCAAGCCCACGTGTGTCCTCAAGTGAACTTCTAGGGAGGCAGGACTCCCCTATAACTTAGCTGCATTACAGAAAGAGGCATGCACAGCAGTGGGGAAATGATCACATAAACTAATCTATTAATTAAAATAACAGAACCACCCAGACTACTTCCCTAGAAACAGTCCCTCCTTCCTCTCGGCTCCCACAGAAAGAAGCCTCGGGCAGCAGCTGCCTTCCTGCGGCCTGCCGCTCTCCCGCAGTGTATTCTCGCCTGTGCTTTGCCTAACCTGTGGCCTCTGCAGTCTCTGTGGGCTTTTATTTTATTTCTGAATCCAATAACAACAACCTGAAGCACTAGGCCAGACTCTGACCACAGACACCAGCTTGAACCCAGAAGTTGGAAAGAGGCCTGGGCAACACACTAAGACCCTGTTTCAAAAGACGGAAGCCGTGGTGGGGTGGGGCTCGTTGGCAGGGTGCTTACCCAGCAGGTGTGAGGCTCGGGGGTCCCCACAAAGAACGTGAAGGGAGAAACAGGCAGGGTAGAGGGGGAAGAAAAGGAGAGAGAAGCAAAGCAACAGCAGGGCAGAAGAAAGGAGGAAGAGAGGGAGAGAGAAAAGAAAGGATACTTCTGAGGAGACTTGACAGAATTTTTTAAACTGCTCAATTATCTTTGTCTGAGTTAAACAGACACTATCCAGCCAGACGGTGGTGGCACACATCTTTAATCCTAGCATTCAGGAGGCAGAGGCAGGTGGATCTCTGTAAGTTTGAGGCCAGTCTAGTCTATAGAGTAAGTTCCAGGACAGCCAGGACTGTTTCAAAGAGAAAACCCTGTCTCAAAAAAACCAAAAAAAAAAAAAAAATCACAGCATTTCAAATTTCATTCCTAATTGAGATGAATTATGTATCGAAACAATGCATCTGCCCTCCTCCAAGGGAACTCTTCAGTGACTCCATTCATGAAAGGATAGCCACTGGGGTTCAAAAGCAGCCCCCTTCCCACAGCCCCCTTCCCACACAGCCCTCCAACAACCTCCTCCTGAGCATCTCTCTTCCTGACAGGCACTTAGCTTTGGCAACAGAACAACAGGCCCGAGACTAAGACAGCACAGACCAGGAGAACCCATCTCCGGATCAGTCAGTGTGACAGAGCCTCACTTTTCATAGTTCCTTCCTCTTCCTCGTCCTCCGTGTTGATCACCATGGTGCCCAGCTGTGACGGCAATGTGTCACTGTGCTCAATCATAGTATTAGCTCCATCACTCATTGTACTGGCTACTCGCACGGTGCCCATCTCATCACCAGCGGCTCGAACCATTGTGCCAGAATCCATCTCATCCTCCTCCTGCAAATCAACAAATTTGTTCAAAAGATTGTTAACTTTCTGAATTACTGTTGCTCATCTTGGTGCAAGCATTCCTGGATTTGTATCAGGGACTATGGGGGTCCAGCCCCTCGATAGTCCCCTCCCAGGGTCCGGGAAGAATCTACAACTAGCTGATAATTAATCTTTGATGAAAAGAAATGAATCTGTGCACACGAAACTCCTTAGTCTATATATTTTATAATTCTGTGTCAGTTACAAGCTTATATTCTGCTCTCATATTTAGCTCATTTCTTGCCTGATTTCTTTCTACACTTATCTGCAGTCCCCTCTAGGTTCTACCTTAATTCCTTCATCTAGTTCTGCCCCTTCTAGGTTCTCATCCATCTAGTTCTTTCCCATATCAGCACCTCTCCCATCTCCTTCTCTCTCATCTCGTTCTTCCTCATCTTGTTCTTCCCCATCTGGCTCTTCCATCTCGTTCCTCTAGTACTCTCTTCTAGCCCTTCCATCTAGTTCTTCCCCATCTCAGTTTGTTCCTCTCAAGTCCTTACCCATCTAGTTCTTCCATTCTCTTTTCTCTTCTCTGTTCTCCATGTGCCCTGGAAGTCCTGGTGTATATATATACACTTACAAGCAGTATTCCCTTAGTAGTGCAAAGCCAGGCTTCCAGGGTCAAACGGAGGGGTGATAAGAATCACATAGGGAGGCAATAACTGTTAATTATCATTTGCAACCCTAAAGGGAAGTGACTAATGGGGAAATGAATTAACTAAAGGCCAAATTCAGGTAATATCTAACAAGAGGGTTCTTATGTGCTCAACTATAATCTTGAACGTGATTGGCAGAAAATGTTAAGAATCTATAAGTTGCTAGGTCAATGGGAGAAAATAAAACTGCCTTCTTTTTTCCTGTGGCTCCTATCTGCCCAAGCTATCTGCCGTTTTTTCTGCAGGGTGGGGGAAAGTGTGCTTGGTCGCTAGGCAACCTGTGTACGGCTAGATGCCTCTGGTGATAAAGGAAGATCTGGAACTAGAGGTAAGGTTTGGGTAAAGAGGAAGTTAAGCTTAATTGGCATATCCGCCAGGCCTTCTCAAACAGGTAGCCTGGATGCTTAAGTCTGTTCTTAGAGAGCACAGAGGTATCTCTGATAAAGTACTCTCCTCCATCTGGGGATGGACCTGGCTGGATGTTGCCAATGATGATAATTACAGGGAGGCTTGAACTGGGGTTCTGGCTGAGCATAGCTGTCAGTGCAGAGGGTTATCTAAATATTCCTAGAAGCGGTTAGGTAAGGAGTTAGCGGTCTATAAAGTTAGTAAGGCTGTAAGAAAGGAGGGTCCGAGCTAAATTGTGTAAAGCTATTACTTAACGTCCACCTGACCTATGCAGTGTCTCCTTGTGGAATTTATCTTAAATCAGGAGACTTGCATGTGGACTGTTATTACTGCTAGTCCTTGAAAGTGGCCAAGGGAGATACCTGATTCCAAAGAAAGCCTTTCCTGAAGCTGTTCTCCAAATACCTGGAATGTGTATGTCCAGAGAGTGATCAGTCCACTGTTAGCCCTTCTTAGGGAAAAGTCAATTGGGAAAACTATGAAGGCACACATGATTTTCATAATAGAATACAGCTGATATATAACAAGCCAAGTAACACCAAAAACTCCTTGGAATTTGGCTTCCTCCTGAGGAATTCCCTGATCTCTCCGGAGGAATTCCCTGATCCCTCCAGGCAATGACTTTGACATAACCAGCTGAGTTCTTATGATATATTTCTTCGGCCCACAGCAGATTTGACACTTCTCCAGGTTGTATACATACCGTGGAAGCTGAAAAGCACACATTTAACAGGAGATGATCATAAAGTCACCCATGTGACTAGTGCATGTCTAACCTAAAGGACTTTCCTCTTCTTCCTTCTCATCTAACTTACAGCACAGACCTAAAGAGCTGACACGTACCCTTCAAATCTCTAAAGCTGTGAGTGACTCCAGAATACAGTATGAAAATTTTAAAAGAGCTTGGTAAACCAAGTCTCCAAACTGGGGGATATGTCTCCCTGCCCCTCTCTCTCAAAGATAAACTGGATAAAAGATATGGGGGGAAAATAGTAAAATGTAGGTGTTCTGAGAAACACTGAGTAACAGGCAAACAGACCCACCAAGTGTCCAGCGACACTGAATGAGATTGGGACAAAGTGCTGTTAGAGTCTCGAGCTCCAGGCTTCCCCACAGCAGCTACTTGTCTCCCTTCTGCGGCAATCACGACCTAACAAGCAATTACTCCTGAAGCCACTCACTGAGTTTTCATCATCGTCCTGGTCCACCTCCCGCTGCTGGGCTTCCTGGCGCTTCAGTTTCACGTCCATGGCTTCGTTAATTAGGTCTCGCAGTATCGACACTCCTTTGGCACTCTTGACAAATGGATGCTTGCGTAAATGCAGAACAAAGGACACAGTTTTACTTTACTTACTTACTTACTTACTTAATTACTTATTTATTTATTTATTTATTTATTTATTTATTTATTTATTTATTTATTTATTTATTTATTTATTGGTTTTTCGAGGCAGGGTTTCTCTGGGTAGCTTTGCACCTTTCCTGGAACTCGCTTTGGAGACCAGGCTGGCCTCGAACTCACAGAGATCC